CTAATTTGTGTCAAGGTGAGAGTACGGTAGAATATTATGAGGAATGACCTGTGAAACACAAAATCGAGTCACTTTCAACCTTAACGTCCTAGTGAAATTGAAAGGAAAATCTGAGCGTTTTTCCAAATATATAAATAATTTGGGTAATTTTGTTACCTTGAATGGTCCTACTGAATAGCCATTATGCAATTCTATGTAATAAAAAAGCTTTCGGGTGCTCAGGGGAATTTTGTTGTCAAAACAAGGTAACGAATTCATGAACGGTATTCCTGAATAATTGTTATCATAAATATTAAAATAAAGTCAACAGTTTACCATATATATTAAACATTTTTTAACAGTTTACACTAAATATCAAGTACACCTTTACGACTGGGACATCTTAATTAGCCTGCACGACCGTGGCAGCGTCGTGCGCATGCCACCAATCTAACACCTGCACGACCGTGGCAGCGTCGAGCGCATGCCACCAATCTAACACCTGCACGACCGTGGCAGCGTCGTGCGCATGCCACCAATCTAACTTAAACTTAAATTCACTTAAACCTAATCTAACTTAATTAAACTCACCGCAAGTACGACGGCAATGCAGCGAGGATTGCCGAGGAAACAGCCTAGCCAGGCCATGCCACTGGTTCAATATTTAATTAGTTTGTGCTAAAAAATAATATATAGAGCTTTGATAATATAGTAACAATATCCTATACGGATTCCAACAAATTTATATACCATTCCATCATCGCCTAGATTTTATAATTACTAATATTGACTCTCATTCTGCAAAAAAAAAACAATAAAAACAGTAAATAAGTTTTTTACATGTAGCACAGTTTTCTTATAGCTATGTTGGGAAATAAACTAATTCAGCACTTAAAATAAATAAAATTATAACTCTGCAGTGCACAGGATATTAGGTATAATAACTTTGCAGTTTGCAAAATATCTAAGTAAACTGTACATGTGCAGTCTAGCTAATCTTGTCTTTATGTGTACAACAGATTAAACTCAGCTGTGTTGTGTATACGGTATTTAACTGCACTGTGCAGTTAACACAGAGCTCTCATACATCGCAAACCCACTGCCACACAGCTGCAAAATATTATCTAGATCTGTAACAGGGCGCACAGAGCTGTAAGACCACACAGAGCTGTGATACACGGCACAAACTGCAATACTGCACACAGAGCTTTAATACATTACGTAAGGCTGTGATACATCACACAGAGCTGTAATAGACCACACAGAGCGTTAATGAATTATCCAAAGATTTAACTTATTACGCAGAGGTTTAACACACCACACAGAGCTGCTCTACATCATACAGAGCTGACAGCCCTCATAGGTGGAAAGCGCAGAGCTATAATAGATCACACAGAGCTATAATACACCACACAGAGCTGTTCCCACGCAGAGCTGTTATACACAACACAGAGCTGTTATACACCACACAGTGCTGCTATACACCACACAGAGCATACAACTCGGAAGTGCAGCGCGCAGAGCTGTCCAGTCCTGACTGTCACAGGGATAAGACGGAAGGCGTAAGACTGGCCGAGCTTAACAGACTGGAACAGAACTGTCTTGCATAACCGGACACACTGCTCAGTTGCCGACACATTCTATGTGTACTCATCGATATTGTTGCTTGTGTAACGTGAAGAATGCAACACAGGAAGTGTTTGTATGAATATTATTCATGGCAATAGATTTCGGCCAAACGAATAACAAAAATTACGAGTTTAACAAGCAGCTTTCCGGCCATCAGTCGCGCGGACATATATAAAGAGATGATGTCTAAAGGCATCCTTTGTATAGGAAAACAATATTGAGAGCTTTGTCATAGGTGTGTGGCAGAGATGAACATAATCAAACGGTTGTAGCTGTTCAGTGATGTAGTACCATTAACTTTGTCGCCTCGTAACATTAACAAATACCTAATTTTCGAAGCTATAAGCTTGCTTATTTCTAAATCAGAATCTAAATCAGAACCTTAATATTTTCCCAATAAATGGCATCTTAAATATCCTCTTAAAATTTCCGCGTAACGTCAAAACATTTCTAGGAGAGTGCTAGACTGAAAGTAAACCGAGACAGTGACACAAACTTCGACTTGATCTATAAATGATAATTTCATACGTATTCATTTTGAAGTTATTGCATTTGTTTCTCTAGGATAACAGTGACTTCTGAATGGCCCGCATGTCATTTCTGGGACTATCAACCAACACCTAATTTATTAATTGCGAGTTGCTTCTTGCCTGTTGAAGTGAATAATTTTCCTAATTTATTAATCGGATTTATAGTCATATATTGAGATATTTTGAGCAATAGGTATTACTGTTTTACCATCTTGTACTCTTCAAAGTTTGTGCAACTGCATAGCATAATTTTTGGAACTTGTTTCCTTACACATTTTGAACGTCTGGTTTCTCGAGCGTTGGGACGTCTCGACGTCTTGGGATAAGTTCAAAAATAAAAGTTGGTTTATATTGTATGTCTCTGTATTGAAGTCTAACACTAAATTGTAACGTTATTTTTAACTAAATAGTAACGCTGACACTCGTGTGGCGGGAGTGGCTGGCACTCGTGTGGCGGGAGTGGCTGACACTCGTGTGGCGGGAGTGGCTGACACTCGTGTGGCGGGAGTGGCTGACACTCGTGTAGCGGGAGTGGCTGACACTCGTGTGAAGGGAGTGGCTGACACTCGTAGTCGGGCAGATTTATGATTAAAGCGAAAAGCACACAACACACGAATTTTGGAAATTTGATGGTGAACGTACAGCCCGACCCACGTTTTTTGGGGCGAGCCACAATTTATTTTCTACTTTTTAGTCCACAAGAATAACGTGTTTTTTTAAGTTTTTTTAAAGTATTTTATTTTCTCCTTTTTAGTCCGTTGCTACACATGAAAAACGTTGTTGCAGCCAATTTACTTGACTTGACGTACGTATCGATGATACGCAGCGTAAGCGCCTGCTCGTCTATAACGTCAGCACCCGCACGTCATACTATATATATACTATTTATATATACTTTACTCAATTAAGCTAATTTAGGTCTCTAATTGCTAGTTTTTATGATTGTATCTGAAATTGTTAGGCGAAAATAGCCTGCATGCCGAATTTCAGATCTTTAGAGCAATCAGAAGTGGCCGGGCTAATTTTCGTTGTCAATGTTAACAACAAACAAACAAACAAACAAACGCGAAGCTAAGCTAAGAAAAACGTGTTAAAAACGTGTTAATTACTTAGGGACTTTATTAATGATGCATGTATATCGCATCTATATCAAATTATGGTAGATCTATATATTAAAGTATTTTAATCTATACTAAATTTACAAAAAAAGTATTGCAAATTATAGCAAATCAATAAAAAATTATATCCAATTTTCAAAGGCTCCACGTGTGTAAGAAAATCTAGTTGTAAATACTTACATGGGAAGACATGAGAATATAAGATTTCCACGTCTGTGTTACCGTGCTAACCTCAGTATATACTCAGCATAGCAGAACCAAACAACTATACTAATGACTTACGCAAAGTTTGCGATTAAATACTAAAATATGAAAAAAAAATTAGATCAGTACTCACTGCAGTGAGTGACAGAGAGCGCATTTTCTCGTCCATCCGTCCGTGAAGTCACGGACGGACGGACGGACGGACATGACGAGCACACTAGCGCCTTTTTTCATAATTGAGAAAATGCGCTAAAAAGAAGTCCTTGGGTTAAAGTTTACATTTAGATTATGTCCCGGCCACGCAAACAAGAGGGTAGCTCCAGGTCATAACCCTATCAACGATAGCATTTATTGACCAGATAACCCTTGAAATTAATGCTTGTTTCCTTCATTAAGGAAATAAAAACTGAAAATGTGCAAGAATTAAAGAGTAAAATGTAGCCAGTGAAAACGCGGCGAAAAAATTTAGAGGACTATAAAAGCACCGAAAATGACATGAAATGAAAAAATTAAAAATAAAGAATCGGGTAAAGATACAAAAGTAAAATACGGTTATGAATATAGTGAAAACACAATGCAGACAAAGAATAACAAAATGAGTAAAAGTGGAAAAATTGCAATCAGAAGTACAAATAAAATTATTTTTCAGTAAATACAAAAAATAGTGCTTCAAACAGATACAAATATGACATATGGCAATGTGACAGAAAAGAACCTCCAAATTTATAAAAATCGTGAATTAATATCACAAAAGCAAGAATTTAATATCCGAATTTATGTAAAATGTAAATTATTATCGTTATTAAAGCAAGATACGCATGTGCTGCACGGCGTGCGTACGGCGCACTAATCTTGTGAGCGTTCACTGCTTATCGTGCGTGCGCTCCGTTATCTCCACTAATTGCCAACTCGTCCCTACGAACTGCTGGCCAATCCAGAGAGAAATTAGCGCCGCTGGTCTGACCTGAGGTCGTCGGATTCTCGAAGTCCACTAAACTGCTATAGATATTCTTTCAATTAATTTATTTTTGATACCATTAATATATTCTACTAATTATTTGCGAAATTAACACGGCAGAAAAATATCAATATGCTCGTAATATGCTGGCCGCATGCCACATTTCCCTGCACGTACAAGTCTGATTTATGATTTTATTATATTAACATAACGGCGCGAGGCATGTCATAGCTTTCAACAATACGGTACACACCTCTCTACAACGTCAGTGCAGCGTGAGGTCACGGCAGTACAGCGTGAGGTCACGGCAGTGCAGCGTGAGGTCACGGCAGTGCAGCGTGAGGTCACGGCAGTGCAGTGTGAGGTCACGGCAGTGCAGCGTGAGGTCACGGCAGTGCAGCGTGAGGTCACGGCAGTGCAGCGTGAGGTCACGGCAGTGCCGCGTGAGGTCACGGCAGTGCCGCGTGAGGTCACGGCAGTGCCGCGTGAGGTCACATGACCTCCACTGCGGTGCAGTGACATGTGACGGCACGCACTGCAGGTGCACGGCAATGCAGTGGTCGTGTGCAGTGTAGAGGCGAGCACTGCGTCGGGAGGAGCTGCGTCTTAAGAGTGCAGTCATGCTGACTCGTCGGGTCTTGGTGAGTACTATGATTATGATCACAGATCAGTGAATAAAAACTCAAATGTTTGATTAACTGGCTGACGTCGTAAGTCATGTTAGCGATGAATATTTCAATTAATTATTTTCAGTGCAGGCGCGCCATCCTATCACGTATATAATCATGTAAATTGATAAAGTTTTATAAGATATGAATCTAGGAATAGAGAAAGCTGAAAAAATCTATAACTCACATCGATCAGACAACGAGAGTCTATTCGCATTAATTCGTGTTATAAAAATTTTACAATTTCTGGGGTAACAGCGGAGACGACAAAAACGCTTACATGAGCGCCATTTATTATTTAAACACTCACTAGTCAATTCAGATAACAATCTTAAGATGAACTGTTATCCTCGAAAAAAAAATATCCAATTATCCAAATTTATAAGATTTGAAATGCATTGTGATTCCTTTTGAGACTCGGTCTTGGATACATATGATTTCAGATAATACTTTATTCGTTTTGAGACGCAGTCTTTGATGTATTAGATTTAAGATACATCCTCATTCCCTTTAAGACACATTCCTCGGTAAAGAAAATCGTGATGTGTCGTTATTTCATTTAAGACGCAGTCCAAGATAGATGAAATTAAAAATATATCGTAATCCCTTTCGAGAGTCAATCGTTGATGTATACGATTTGAGATTCATCGCGTTTCCTTTGAGACTCAGTCATTCATGTATAAGATTTGAAATATATCTCGTTTCCTTTTAAGAATCAGTCATTGATATTAAGATTTGAAATTTGAGACTTTTTGAGACTTAATGGTTGCAAAAGTTAATATACGTAGTTAATACATACAATGTATATAGTATCGTAGTTAATATATAGAAGTAGTTAGTTAGTTAATATATAGTAGTACTACTACTATATATAGTAGTAGTTATTTGATAGTAGTTAGTTAATATATACAAGATATACAGATACATCGCACTTCGTTAGAGATTTTCAGTCATTTTGTCCAATTTCCGATCTTTTGTGATTTAATTGATGGGTTATATCTCTGCCAACGTGGTAATGCTGCAATTTGTATATGTATGGTATGTTTTTAATGTATCAGTGTTGGTTGTATAGTAAACAGAAACGAGTAAGATTCACCGACATGAGTAAGATTCACCGACATGAGCAAGATTCACCGACATGAGTAAGATTCACCGACATGAGCAAGATTCACCGACATGAGTAAGATTCACCGACATGAGTAACATTCACCGACATGAGTAAGATTCACCGACATGAGTAAGATTCACCGACATGAGCAAGATTCATCCATATGCTTTAATGCAAGGCCTGCGACATATACTCAATGCAGCGTAACACACGCCAAGGCTGTCACACTCTCTGCACCAGCACGCCACTCATGTGGAGAGTGTTGGTGCATCTTCATCCGCACCTCATTTCTTCATCCGCGCCTCATTTCTTCATCCGCACCTCATTTCTTCATCCGCACCTCATTTCTTCCATCGTAAACGACTTTTGCACGTCATGAATTTCATACATAAAAAAGCTGTGCTCAGGAAATAACAATGATTGAGCGACATTTTTCTAGCTGTGGATTAAGCGATTCAATCGCAAGTGGTGATAACCAGAAAATATTGCTATTTTGCTTGCAAATTTCGACAAAGTTAAAGCTGGAACACTTAATTTATGACCTTCAAATTTGCTTTTCATGGAAAATTTACAGCAGCAAATGTTTTATTTCATACATGAGAATGATCAAAAGATGACAGATAATACATAACTGACGCAGAGCTAACATCTTTCTTGTCTGGCACAGAAATGGTTGCTAGCGACCCTGGCCGCAAGTATCATAGCCAGCGCGCACGCCAGTGACTCTTCAAGCTTAGAGAGCCCGAGTGCAGCGGCAGTCAATCCAACGCCATCAAATCCATTGGCAAGACTAGAAAAGTTGCGGAAAAAACGAATGAGAAAAAAACTAGATGCGGACGAACCTCATGATATTTCTGAGACACGCCCATTTCAAAACGAAAAACGTCTTCTAAACAAACGAAAAGGGGGGTTTAGAGATCATAAATCACACGAGTCCCCCAACGATATCAACGAACGACCTCTCGGAATTGAGGGACAGGCTGAAACTTATCCTCTAACCGATGTGGCTTTTGGAAAAACAGAAAACATTGACGAACTACCGAACGATGATTTGCTTCTAAAATCTGATTTATCGCAGTCTTCTGATCGACGACGCAGGCTAAAGTTCAGAGGAGTTTCGAGTCACGAACGAACAGATGGAAGAAAAGGAACTGTGTCTGTTCAACCTATCGTAGACCCGCACAACAGAAAACGGCCACTCACGCATCGACGGTCTACAAAACCGAACTTGCAATCCCATTCAGTGTCTCCAGTACCGACCCGACCACAACGTAAACGAAGGATTGTGCGTAAGAAAGAATCAGTAACCGAGGAACTACACCCCAATGTTGGCGTAAACTCGCATCGACTGCTGCTCGAAGGTTTGGAAGAAGAGCTGCGTGCTGAGCACGGAGCACCGACGAGGTCCACTTGGCATCACTCGACGCCGGCGGCAACTCTGACTGCTCCTCAGTTGGTTACCTTGCCCTTTGTTGAACAAGACTTTGCGCCTTTCGAGAAATCGTTTTCAGGAGCAAGTGATCTGCATTTCCACCCTCTGCTTTCTTCCATTTCACCACTCCCTCATCCGGTGAATGACTTTTTTCCGAGGCATGGGCCCCACTTGAGCAACCCGGTCCTCGTTCCTTCGGCCAAGGTAACAATCAGATTAATTTACGCAACGTATACTAGAGGGTTTGCTATTTAATAAGTAATACTCGTATATGTATAATATACCTGAATCAGTGGCCCAGTGATTAAAGTTCAGAGTACCAAGATTGGAGCAGAGAGGCGCGGGGTCGATCCCATGCAGCTCTGTGCGCCAGTTTCTGGCCAGAATCGGCAAGGAGGCCGGGCGGTTAAGCACAGCAGAATTGTAGCAGTGAGTTGCGAGTTCGAAACCGCAAAATGCTCTGAATGTTCTGTGATGTTGAGAATCGGCGACAGGCCTACGGCCTAAAAAACGCCGAAACCGCAATTATTATTATTATTATTATTATTATTATAGTGGTTAAAGTTTAGAGTACCAAGATTGGAGCAGACAGGTGCGGGTTCGATCCCAGCTCTGTGCGCCAGTTTCTGGTCAGAATCGGCAAGGAGGCCGGGCGGTTAAGTGAAGCAGAATTGGAGCAATGAGTTGCGTGTTCGAGACCGCAACAAGCCGTGAATATTCTGCGATGTTAAGAATTGGCGACAAGCCTACGGCCAATTAAACGCTGAAACCGCTATTATTATTATAAGATAATAAATTTAGCTCAACTTTGTCGTCGATCTTTTTAGTAGAGTAAACCAGGGACGTCACTAGATTTTACCACTTTTTCATGATCTTATTCGAAATAATTTATGTGCTTTACAATATTTTAGGCGGCTGAAGCCTACTAAAATAGGCGCAGTGACACCTCCAGATTAAACTGATATTTAATTCCTCCCCCTGGCAGTCTTTGTCACCACCGCTTCCATCGGGAAGTACACCTGGTCACGGCCCACCTCCGCCTCCTCCACTCCCTCCAGCTGTTCCCCTTCATCCCCCAGGCCTTCCCCTACCTCCTCCAGGTTTGCCAGGGAAACGTACTCCCCCTCCTCTGTTCCGGCACCACACGGAGATCAAGCAGCTGTCGGGGGGCAAGAGTCTACAGAAGCCTGCACCCGAGCACTACTACGACGACCGCGGCAAGGAGAAGGCTAAGAAATTATTCAACGAAAAATATCCGAGATTCAAACCAATAAGAGTCAAGAAAAAGCGAGGAAAATCTTCTTTCAACGGCAAGGTGAGTTTTATGCGTGAACGATTTGATGCGTTAGGTTCATTTTTGGAGTTAGGGATTTGTGTGTTCAGATCGTTGGTCGATTGGGGATAATATTGAGCATCAAGTCTTCAGAGATAATAAATTACGGCATTTCTCAATATTGAGATGTAATATTTATATTATCTTTCTTAGAATCGGTGTTTCATCCACCCGCTGGCAAGGGACTTACCAAGAAGTTCCAGGTGCCATCCGCACAGAAGCGGGAAATCCAGAAGTTCGAGGAAACAAAAACTGAGAAAATCGTTCCCCTTCCCCGGAGCTCCGCCGGTACCATTGCCCCATGCCCTAGTACCAGGACACCACAGGGCCCATGGGTACGTGAGTGTGTACGCCGCCGTACCCAATGACCTCTTTCCCATTCACAGCCGCGAGTTCCGAGCAAAACATTCAGAATATTGGAAATCTTTTTACGGTCGCGCTAATCGATACTAACGATTCATTCCTTTGAGATGCAAAAACCATCCAAATTAAAAACTAATTCGTCTATGACTTTGTACACTGTTGCATACGATCCACACAAACACGATGGTTTGTGCGGATAAAACGAGAAAAGAAAAATAAATTGCCGGATATATCTATAGCATGTGTATTATTTATTTATTATTTTTTTGCATTCCATAATGAATTCATTAAACAGACTTTCCTCCTCTGCACTGAGTTCTTACTTAAGGCTTTAGCATCAAAAGGCAACAACACATACCATGGGTTCAAATCGAACGAAGCATTAGAATTTAAACGTTATTACTCTACATAAATAATTCAATATAAATGACTGTATGTAGCTTTTTTCCCATCGCATCACAGAATGCTAGTAGTCATTTGTTCATTCACGCGTTAAACGTTCTGCTGTCATTGGCACGAGTTCAGAGTCCCTTAAAATTTTTCATTTTGCTGAGTGCAAAATCCATCAGTCCCTTGGCAGCGCAGCTCTAAACTCGAAACTAACCTAAAAAGTGCTTACATAATTTTTGGGAAAGAGGATTTTATCTATCAGGAGCCGGGACCCAATTTGAACTATTATCATAAGATGGCTCTTGTAGCTTAAAATATTAGCCATTTATATGAATGTACGCCGCTTCGTTAAAATTAATTGACTTCTGTAAAATAGACAGTGGATAAGCTCTCAGTAAGGATCGGCGAGGCGCTGTAAATTAACATCCCGCTGCAATAACTCGATTAATGAATGTTCATTTCCATCAGCCCAAGGTAGAGGTTAAGGAAACGCAGCTAAATGAGATTTAACTTATTATTTGCAGCTAAGTATAGCAGTGCTGCGCTGAATTCGAAACTAACCTGTTGAGGAAAATAGCACCAAAAATTACAAGTCTTCTACGACTCTCAAGGAACGAGGCCATTGATCGCGTTCGGGGATGGAAAATTTCTGCGAAGCCGATCATATCGAGTAAATGTATTTGATTACTGCGTTACTTGAGCAAAACTGAGAGCCCCGGCTCGCCTGGTCGAACGGACGCCTGAGCTACGAGCTCAAAAGCGCCACTTGTCATCGCAACGCCAAGGCAATTTACCTTCCGTAGCACCAACTCAGTAAAGGCGTAGCGGTATCACACTGCAGCATATAGAAGCTCTCTCACTACGTAAGTCACAGCCTCGTCATCACGAATGATTTCAGTCGTCATTAATGTCTCCAATCAAACTCATCACACAAGAGGAAGAAGGTCCCAAGGCTAGCCGGTAGGAGCAACCGAAAAAGAAGCAGCGTCAGCATCTCAGTGAGACGAAGAAGGAAAAATAAGGATGAGTAGAAACAGCAACGAAGACACTAGTACAGGAGGTTGCCCACGAAACAGAGAACGGATAATTTCAGAGAATTTCCCGTCTACAGGCAGGGTGGGCAGGGTGGGCAGGGTGGCCTAGTGGTTAAAGTTCAGCAGAGTATCAGGATTGGAGCAGAGAGGCGCGGGTTCGATCCCAGATCTGTGCGCCAGTTTCTGGTCAGAATCGGCGAGGAGGCCGGGCGGTTAAGCACAGCAGAATTTGAATCAGTGAGTTGCGAGTTCGAGACCGCAACAAGCTGTGAATGTTCTGCGATGTTAAGAATCGGCGACAGGCCTACGGCCTAATAAACGCTGAAACCGCTATTATTATTATTATTACATAAAAACTTAATCACACAACTGCCGCGCCTACATAACAACTCACAACGCAACGAAGACCCCGTAATCAGACACCGCAAGCTCTTTGGAGTGATGAAAGCGAGGGCTCTCAGGAGTAATGCTCCCATGAGCGGGAAATTTCATCAGACTCCTGACGGTTATGACACGCGTAGAAGAACCTGAGAGGCGACCTCTCAACGACATCACGCAGTCTTACTTAAACCCATACCGCCAACACGCAGTAAGTCTTACCTAAACACACACCGCCAACACGCAGTCACAGTCTTACCTACACATAAGCCGCCAACACGCAGTCACAGTCTTACCTACACATAAGCCGCCAACACGCAGTCACAGTCTTACCTACACATAAGCCGCCAACACGCAGTAAGTCTTACCTAAACACACACCGCCAACACGCAGTAAGTCTTACCTAAACACACACCGCCAACACGCAGTCACAGTCTTACCTACACATGAGCCGCCAACACGCAGTAAGTCTTACCTCAACCCATACTGGCAGCTAAGGAACTAGCTAACTTAGGACGTTACTAAGGTAGCTGTAAGGGATCGGTGGGTGGGCTTAAAACGCCACATGGACGAAACGTTCCCACTGTGGGGTTTGGTATGAAGGTGTGGGCGGTACAGAACTTCATGCTTCCCCACAGTTGTCACGCGCACTTAGAAACAACATACAAGAACGTCTCCTTTACGATATTCTGAGTGGGAGGTTCGGTACATCGCAGTGGGGCTGGTCGCACTCCGCTTGACTCATTGTGTTGACCCACTAACCGCGCCGAACGGTGCAGCTGCAGAAGAAATAACTGTAAACATGAATACAGTATAGATGAACCTCCCGCTTCTGCGGAGGGCAGTTCGTTTGATTCATGTTCGAGGTTGCTAAATAAAACTAGGAATATGATTTGTATCCAGAGTTCCACTAGTCGTTAACGTATTCACGCATATAAAATAAAATTAGGCAAAAGAAAAAAATTGTAACGCTTCGTCAATTTCCGCGGTGCGTGAAAGTAACGCCCAACAGTAGCAATGAGAAAAAGAAAGATATTAAAAATTGATTTCATTTACTACCAATGTAACATTTTGAACGACAAGTAGGAGATCATAAGAGATTTATGACTTTCGGTCCGGCAAAAAGTCATAAGAATGCTAACTAAATTAAAATCATTTACAAGTGTTAAGATGGGAAAATACTGCACCAATCGTAATTATTTATGGTTGTTAATATTTGAATTAAAACACTCCCAAGGCAGAACTTTCCTTCTCAAACTCGATCGAAAAGTAGAATTACCCTAATAAAAAAATTATTTACTAACCAAGAGACCGACAGTATAGGTCAAGTTTCTAGTTTTCCTACTAAGCTTTCGTCTACCGATGCCAAGAAATGCATTTTTTATTCAAACAGCTATTCACACCAGAATTTCATACTGCAAAACTAACAATACAATCAGCTTTATTTGCGTCACCAAGAACTAAACAGATAATACGAATCTTAGTTTCACGGCTCGCTGGTATTCACTTGATGATCAATAAGCTGCGCGTGATTGCCATAAATATCACCAGGTTATCAGTTTTGTACATTACGGACCACCCAATACAGCTTCCAATTCTACAAAAACACATACGCGCGGGACAGCACCTCGAATGAGGTCATTGGTTCAGAATATGAGATAATATGGGCTGAGTTTGCCATGCTTGGTTTAATCATTTAATGGGTTCGATAGGAGATGTCGACAGCTGAAACTGCCGCAATGAGTTCAGTGTCAGTTTAGTTAAAGACAAGTTAGAGATGAAAATTAGGTGTGCAGGTTACTGATGTAGCCATCAACAGCATGGAACCGAACAAAGACTAATATTCAATGAATGAAGATTCAAAAGAATAACAGATTCTTTCATTCATTAGCACAATTCACGTCAAAGTAGCAAGAGCTGAAATGAGGGCGCACAGAAAATTCCTTTTGGAAGCCTTTAGTCTTTTTGGATGCATCGGCCAACACACTAGCTTCGTACTAGAATTACTTTTATTCTGTACAATTGAGGTCCTAGCTGCAACTACTAACATGTTTACAGAAGTTGTCCGTTTTTATCCAGTAAAGTATGACCGTTGCAGTGGAAGTTACACAAAGTAATACAATGTTACGCCATGAGTGTCACTAAGTAGCGTCACTAGTATCGCTAATAGTGTAACTACTCTGCATGCCCAGCTGAAGGCTAGTTCAATATCTACCATTCAATCGGAACAAATACATCCTTGCACCAGGGTTACGGATAATTTGTCTACACGTGTTAAAGACGAGATGGATGAAGGCTATTAGCCGGCAGCCGCTACTGGTAGTGACATGACGCTCTATAAACTATGTACTTGTTCAAAAATTTCTTATTGTTAACATTTTGATAGGTTCAGAAGAATTTTTTTCATTGCGGACAAGGTCATGTAAAATAAATGCCAAAATTAGATTCTATTTGTAACTTATCATTCGGGGAAAAATTTGTACGAATTGACGTGAGGTGAAACTCTGTCCTTACATGGATTTGGTCCGAATATCAATAGACACAGCAAGCCTATACGAACAAGAGGTAAATAATCTATTTACATTTGGCTCTACCGCGTACGAGGTTTGAGCTCATCTACGCAGGGTCTCAGGAAGATGTAGTTCTTCTTCTGGGGGTTGTACGACTCGTGGCCCTGCAAAAAACATACACCGTCAAAACATGTTCATTATTATAAATGTTACGTTCATGATAATATGTGTGTGATAATAAACTATACATAACATCAATTTTGAAAACTAATTTGGTAAATTTTAATAATTAATTCAATAAATTTTAAAAATATAATTAATTCGAATAATTTTAAAATATGATTTGATTAATTTTAGAAATATAATTCAATTAATTTTAAAACTTTAATTTAATTAATTTTACAAATATAATTTAATTAAAGTGAGAAAAAATTAAATAATTTTTTAAATAATTTAAATTATTTCAAGATCATTTCATACAAAGAAGCAGTGATGATTAACGTGTGAAAGTTGAAAGATTGCAACGGAATGGCAAGCTTTGATCATAGGCAGGCCGAGACAATATTTAGAAGGAAGGCTAAGGACACAATGACGAATACAGGGTGATTCACGGAAACTTCCTGTTCTGTATTTCGCGTTGGGCAGCCAGATGTTGTAGGAAAAGAGCGGGGAGCATTTCTTATGAAAGACAAGGTCATAAAGTTTTGTGTCCCGCCTAGTCTGTTGCTACTATGCATTGGACAAGTGAGCAGCGTGCGTTTGCTGTCGAGGCGTACTTTTGTAATGGCCATTCAATTATGGCTACTCAACGAGCATTCCGTGATTGATTCTGTATTTGTCCTTCAGATCGGGTTCCTGATCGGAATAGAAAATCGATTGTTGCGTGGATGAACACATTTAGGGCCAGGCAAGTGAAAGTGTGAATGCTAGAGGGTCAGGAGGTCAGCGGACTGCCTCAACACCCGAAAACGTAGAAAGAGTTAGAGAGAAGTTTCTGTGTTCTCCACATCGTTCAGCACATAAACCCGCGGTTATTCTGGGGATTTTGAAAAGCGATTTTGTACGAATACTCCACAAAAAAGAACTGCAATTTTATCCCTATAAATTGTCTGTAGCACAAGAACTCGGCTAAAACGATTTTATTGCTCGCCGAAATGCATATGAAGAGCCTATTGAGAACTTGCCTCGCGATGCAGACGTTTTCTTTAGTGATGAGGCTTACTTCCACATTTCCGGCAGCGTAAACATGCAAAACATGCCGTATTAGAGTGATAACAATAACAATGAACTCCATCAGCAACCACTTATTGTGAACGTGTTACTGTGCGGTGTCGAAAGTCGGCATAATTGGCCCTTATTTCTGGGAGGAGAACGAACGCGCAGTAACGGTGACTGCAGGTCAGGTAAATGATTGACACCTTTTTTGCCAAAACTGGCTGAAACGAATGCCAGGGATGTACGGTTCCAACAGGATGGAAGCACGGCCCACACATGGTGATGTTGAATGGATCTTCTGAGACGACATTTTGCAGAGAGCCTCATCTCCTTAAGAGTTTACCTTCTCTGGCCGGCACCATCCCCCGATTTGGCTCCATGTGATTTTTTTATGGGTTTATCCTGAGTCAATTGTTTACAATGACTGTCTAAGGACCCTACCTCATTTGAAGAACAACATACACCAAGCCATCGCCAACATGCTTCAGCGAGTTGAAAGGAATTTGAAAAATCGACTAACTGAATGCGCTGACAATGTGGGCCGTCATTTGTCCGATGTCATCTTTAAAACTAAATGAGACAAAATTCAGGTAATGTCTTTTGCAATAAAATTTATCCTGTAATGATGTCTTTATAATTTTTTATTGAGCTTTCGAATTGGGAAGTTTCCGTGAATTATCCTCAACTTGAATTAAGATGAAAGGAAGAACAATAAACGACTTTGGGGAACATTACAAAAAACGTACATCGAATAAAAGAATAACTTCAAACACAAAATATTAAGACTTGGATAAAATATTAGAACGGAAATGCCAATTTTCCAGCCCGCGGCCCTGGCCCTCGGAGAATGAATAATGCAATACTAAGGTACTCCAAAAATATTCTAACAAAACATAAAAACGTGATTCTACGGCAAGTATCAAATTCTTGATTAGGTAATAATCGTAGTTCATCGGAGTAAATAATAAAAGATAAATAACATGCACATTATACAGCAGTGTTAAACAATACATTTACCTATGAATTCAACTAGCTGAAAAAAAGCAGTCATCAATAAGGCATTACTAGCCACAAAAAATATTCGCATAATTAACTATTTAAAATAATACTTTTATAATATGATTAAAGATACTGAATTCTAAATAGTGCGTGCAATAGAAAACTTGAATAAAAAGAAGAGACAGGAAAATCTGACCTTTGACCAGTCATAGCTGACGGCATACGCGAAAATTTGTCCGTTGTTGTTGAAGGCGCAACAAGAGATGCTCTGTTCCATGGCCTCGCTGTTCTTGAGTTTTGTCCGTGCGTCTTTGTCCCAGAAACTGAAGCGACCATCAGAACCTACGGTGGCTAAAGTCCCATGTGTTGGATGGAACTTGATGTCGTTGACAGCGTATATTTCCTGGAATCCGTTGGGTGTGCCATTAGCGCTGCGGTGGCACTTGAACGTGAAGTTGTCGCGGGGGTTGGGGGCGTTGATGTACTGAATAGCCACGCGACCTTCCACAGAACCTAATGCGAACCCGGCGGGCGTGTTCTTCTTGTCGCGGAAAATGCTCACGCAGCGGTGCTGTAACATAGAAAAAAAGCAAATATCAAGAGTTTGTTCCATGTAAAGGTTAAAGATCAGACAAATGAGGAAAATATTTGATATTAAACATATTGATATATTGAGTGGTAATGGACTTGATCGACTACTTGAGGAGGAAGAACGTTATGGATTTTATGTCATTAACCTGATACTTGAGAGGAGACTCGATCTGTTTACACTCCTGGGGCTGCTGTTCGAGCCAGTAAACAATAATGTTCCTGTTTGCTGTGCCCACGACAGCCATGGGGTAGTCGACGTCAGCGCAGTACACGCGCTCCGGCAGCTGCATGCTCATGATGGGGTTGGGGGAACGCGTGTCCCAGAACTGCAGTGAGTCGACATACATTAATTCATTATTCTAAATTGTTACTTATTTAATTTAATTGAATGTGCCTGAGAAGACAGCACAAGGGAACAATTGTGAAGACGGTAATGGTGGCTCTGGCAGGAGTTCAGGGATGATATGATGGAGGATGCAGCCATAACTGACCCCTCAAGAGAAAACTAATGTCTAAATACAACAACTTAATAAATAAAGGATTAAAATATTTCAATAGGAGGCAAACCCAAACACTTGGTTATATCCATAGAACATTATGGCAGGATTCTTATGAAAGTATTTACTCTTGTAAACCATTTCCTTCATAAACGATTTCATAATCGTGATAGATAACAGGAACGAAAATTATTTATAAAAGTTACCTTGAGGAGTTACTATAGAACTACATTAATTGAAAAACTGGGCAATGCAGACATGAAAAGACATTTCAACGTAAAAACTTAAATGATAGATAGAGTAGAGTAGAGATAGATTCCAACCAGGCGGCGATCCATCGTGGCCTGGGACTGCTACGCCCCGAACAAATACTATGAAAACAACGATAAAACTAGCATAACTGCCTCAAAAAATGGAGGCACGTCAGTCATAACCGTAACTCAGGAGCTGCCGGATAGGTAGGTCTATATGCACGCACAATAATACTGGAGCTGACATAAATGACAGAGGTGCAGTATTGTGATGAAGTGCATATACCAATCTTTGGAACGAAAAAATATCCGAAACACATATACCTTTGGAATGAAATAATAAACGAAACGCACATACTCCCGGAATGAAGGTGTAGACGAAACTCGAGGAACGTAACAACGATGGTATAGAATAAATGCATAAACTATTGGATCACAAGAACAGAAGAAACGCATTTGTCAAAGGTTCGTCGACCTGACACTTAAGAAACGCCAATACCTTCGCAACAAAGGCATAGACGAAACGCATCGGTGTTACGTAAGACTTATTACATTATAAACAAAGTTGTACGAAGAGATAACACGTAGGCTACGTTCATGTGGTGTAGCCATACACTGTCGTGTGGGACACAGCGATATCTTATGAAATAATATAAAATGAAATACATGGACACAACAAATTATCTCCCTAGGATACTTGCACGGAAATATAGTAACATTACAGCCAATTATGTAGGAGCCAAGGGCCATACTTTCAAAACTCGTTAAGTGAACGTAAGTACTTACGCTCTATTTTCTTGTCTATGATTGGTGGATTTTGCTCGAAAGGCCGTCAATGATTGGCTGATGCACTTACGATCTCATAACTTTTTTTGAAAGTTTAAGCCCAAGTCTGCATGTCTATCATCGGGTTAAGTACTGGTAATTCGCGCGCAGTAATTTGACTGTACGTAAAAATATTCGCTAAGAAAATTCATCACAAAAAATCTCACCATAGATCATTCAGAGTTTGTGCACATAAATACCTTGAGCGTCTTGTCCCACGAGCCTGTCATGATGCAGGAGTAAGTGGGCGCCTTGATCCAGTGGACGGTCTTGACGGGCGCGTCGTGCGCGGCGACCTGCACCTTCTGGTTGCTGCCGAGGTCCCAGCAATGGACGCTCTTGTCCGCACTTGCCATGTACACCTGATGGTAACAGCAAGATATAATATATAACTACTGAAAAAAACGTGGGTAATTCTGAATTTATTTGATATTATAATATTGAACTTGTGTGCAGGTGTTGAGGAGGATAAGGTGGGTTGAAGCGATGTAGAGTGTGTGTATGACGCGATTGTCTCGAGGCCGTGGTACCGAGTGCTGTTTACATTGAACGTTGGCAAGTCCATCAGTAGAGGAATTCGGCGTCACTTCGAATATGCGACGCCGGCCTAGATAAGCACCCTAAAATTCTCGTCAAATGTTGTTCTTCTGAAGTCACGGTCACGAGCATGGCCTACAGTCTGCAGACGTTCTGACGGCCGCTAATGTTCGCCGATTTTGAACATTAGCGGTCGTGAGAAACCTAAACTCGTCGAGGCAGGTACGATTCCTGCAAGCGCGTCTAAAATCTACTAAGAACGGCAACGACTTCGCCTTTTATGTACGGTCAGCATCATTGCTACGGCTGTGACTTAGCCATCAGACAACGCGAGACACAGGAAACGTGCAACGATTTGAACGCTGTCAATCAGAAGGTTAAAGTTTCGAGCACTGAGCAATAATTATTCTCGGTACGGTGATAAACACGGTACGGTCACAGTCACCGTGGGTGGCGGAACGATCACGATGACAACAGCGATACGGCTACTGGGAACGTCATTACGGCAGAAGGCCTTCGGTCACGACATTGCAACAGTACCACTACAGATAAACACAGTTCAGACACGGTAGAGTAAGAAAGGATGAAGATTTGTAACTTAGCACAGTTGCCATGTACACCTGATGACAACACGAGGGAGTTAGTAACATTAGTACAGTTGTCATGTAAACCTGATGACAACAGGCAATAATTCGCAATCTTAACACGTTGACTACGATTGCTTCATCTTGTACTATTATTTCATTTTTTGTACTTTTTTTTAATCAGGGTTGCCAGACGGTCATTTTTTCCGGACAAATTCCGTGATTTAGTTTTTCTCAATTGCATTGGCCGGCTAAAATTTATTATAGGGGTACTTCCTAATTAAATTTTAAATACTGCAATAAGAAAATAAATGGAATTTTCATAGCGGAACCTACAAATAAACTAGTAGTATACATTGAATTATCGGCCTTTTTGGGCCTTTTTTTGTTCTCGGATTTGGCCGATTTTAGTTAACCTGGGGCCATACTTTCAAAACTCGCTAAGTGAACGTAAGTACTTACGCTCTATTTTCTTGTCTATGATTGGTGGATTTTGCTTGAAAGGCCGTCAATGATTGGCTGATGAACTTACGATCTCTTAACTTATTTTGAAAGTATAGGCCCTGAATTATGCACCACTACCTCCTGGAGAAATACATTTCGTGGTACGCATATGTACCAATACGTAGTCAACGTGTTAATACATTTTAGCTCCATTTAGTACAGTGGCCACGTACACTTTATGTCAACAAGCTATGTTGTCCAACACAGTAAGCTTATATAACCTCAGTACAGTTAAGCTACACGTAATTGTAGCTTCAGCTAACAGCAAAATGCTGTTGTACAAAAAAAATTCATATGTTCTAGATTATTTATATCTTATACTACAGACTCTATGGACAGGAAAGTGTCGGCAGCAGAGACCGAGCGGTTGGTTACCTTGGTGCCATCGTCCTGCCAGGCGACGTCCAGCACGGGGCCCCCCATGGTCTGCTGGGCCTTGCCCACTGTCTTGCCGTCCCTCTGCACCTCCCAGCACCTCACCTGTACAGGCATAAAATAACGTGAGATATACAGCTGCACCTCCCAGCACCTCACCTGTACAGGCATTAAAATAACGTGAGATATACAGCAGCACCTCCCAGCACCTCACCTGTACAGGCATACAATAACGTGAGATATACAGCTGCACCTCCCAGCACCTCACCTGTACAGGCATACAATAACGTGAGATATACAGCAGCACCTCCCAGCACTTCACCTGTACAGGCATACAATAACGTGAGATATACAGCTGCACCTCCGCATCTATACAGCCATACAATGAACACATGACACGCAGTCTCACCTCAACTGCCCTATGAATTTTCAATTAACACATGACACACATACAGTGGCATCTCCCAGCACCTCCCCTGACACAGCCATACAATGAACACGACAAAATTTCATACAATAAATACACAACAAAATTCATACATGAACCCATAACAAACAGGCCTATTGTGAAAACAAAGCAAGAAGGTCCATAAGATGAATGTTTGATGGCTCTCAATCCTTGTAAAGTCAACAATGAAGGAAATCTCAATCAATAAGTTGGGGTAGACTAATATCAAGGAACTAACTTGATTAAAGTACGTAACTCAAAGTTTCAACCATGGACTGGACTGGACTTTCAACCACTGGAAACTGAATGTATCTCATAATATGAATTGGATAAAACACCATTTTCTTGAGCATAAAAAAGTACAAAATGACGAGATATTTTTCTCGTCATATGTATATACCTACTTATTTTACGAGTAGTTTTTCTGAAAAATAAAGCAAATTAAATTTAATTCAGCCGGTCGTCATTTCTTCAGCAACCCATTAAAAAGCTACATTCGGCCTAGATAAGAGTAGATGATATCACAAAATGTCTTGATAGATACCACTACTTGATAAACAGGGGCTAGACAGAATATGGGAAACAACTGAGAAATCTACAAAATATATTTTTTTGTATGGTCTGGGTCCACTTTTTTGCGGCAATTAACGCCTCAATTCTCCGAGGTATTGATTCATAAAATTGTAAATTGTTTCCAAAGAAATTTTATACCATTATTTGGCTATAACTCCTCCAGCTCTTTTAAAAACAATGGCGGCGGGAATCGACTTGACTTGCATCACTAAAATCAACCATAAATGCTCAATAATATTCAGGTCTGGTGATTGTGGCGGCCAAATAAGAAGCTCTAATTCATTAAAATGTTCCTCTTGCCATTTTTTAACAATTCCAGCTGTATGAATTGGGACATTATCATCTTGAAAGATAGCATTCCCTTCCGGGAACAGTGCTTGAACGATTGGAGGAACTTGGTCCTCCAAATGCCTAAATAGTCACGGCTGTTGATTCATGAAGAGAAATCATTGGTCCGCCGGATTTCTAAGAACTAGCACTAAAAATCATCACAGATCCCGCCATGTTTTATGGTTGGGAGGAGGCAGTTGGGATTAAATGATTCTTTTGGCCGTCTCTAAACGTAAACTCGGCCAAAGTTGGAAAAATTTTAAATTACGATTTCTCAGAGAAAATCACATTTTTCACAGCTTGAGAGATCATTTTGGCCGGTTTTTGCACCACTCTAAACGCTTTAAAGCATTTGCTTTTGAAACCAGAAGTTTTCTAATTGCAGCTCATCCATAGAAACCAGACCTGAGCAGCTCCCGGCAAACAGCCTTCTTGGAAACTGGGTTCTGTAGGTGTCCATTGAGATCTGCAGTAATTTTAACAGCCGTGGTTGTTCAATTATCATTCACAATTCGATTTAGGCACCAACAGTCTCTCTCAGACAACTTCAACTTTCGGCCAGACCGTATGGCTGAGGATGTTTTTCCTTCTCTTTCAAAAGCATTCATTACTTCTCAGACAGTAGCTCTAGAAACGTCAAGCATTCGGGAAGTTTCTGTCACACTAGCACCTGCCATTATGGGCACCAACAATTTGACTTCTTTGAAAGTTAGAGAGATTTGCCATTTATAGGTTAGGTTATAGTCACAAAAATGTATTAAAAATATTTGTGCATGGTTAAAATATAAATTGGCAGCAGCAATAAACGATAAAACATAAATATATGCTATGTTTCAATTGTTTATAACAAGTTCAAAAATTGTGTCAAAATGTCAGGCATTTTCTGTATTTTGTCTAACTCCTGTATATTACTAGGTGCTCCTAATATGTGATGCATACAAGTACCTAGGTGACCCCACTACATGATATATACCAGTAGATGCTCCTACTACATGATATATGGTACTAGTAGATGCTTCCACTACATGATATACATACCTATACCAGTAGATGCTCCCACTACATGATATAGACCAGTAGACAACCCCATTACATGATACGTACCACTAGATACCACTAATTGCCTCACATTATTATCCCAGCTGCCAGCGACCAGAAAGTCCTGTTGTAATGCAGCAGGAGAGAACTCCAAGCACTGCACGCTGTCATCAGGAGGGTTGATCACCTGCACCACAGACACATCATTAGTATAATTTCTCTCATGGATAGAGTTCAATGTTTCAGAATGAGAACTTGAAGTTCTAGGATTGCTTTCAAGGAAGGCAATTTTTCTTTTGGTGACATTTTACACAGAATCTGTTGAAGTAGCAGAATTGGCACAGAGTGACAGAAGTAAAAATAGAAATTGGTCTTGGTTCATTTGAGAGATCTCACCAAAACCTTCCAACGCAGTGAGTATTTATTAACAAAAATCATTGAAAAATATTTTGCAGCATTATTTGTAGTATAGTTGAATTTTATTGAGAAAATCTTAATAACACATAATTATATTAAATACAAAACAAGAAGTGACAATCTTCAAGAAAGATGACATTGCACTGGCTTATTTGACACACTCTTGAAGATTACCAAATGAAGAGGAATGATGAACATATTGGACTGAGATGAAAATTATTATCATCTCCTCTTACCTCAAAATCCTTCATAGGATTAGCCGTTGCTGGAGTTGTGGAGGTATTTCCAAAACCTCCAAAGCCAGTACTTGTAGTTCCAAATGTGCTTGGTGCACTGAACATCATTGAAATTTATTGATACCTATTTTGAATAATAAGATCAGTCTCTGCAAAAATAGAAATTGTCAAACAGTAGTATTTTGAAATAATAATTTGATGTACCGGTAATCATAACAATGGAATTTAAAACTCAAATGGGCAGTCAAGGCAGGTAATTATATGCCAAATATATAAATGAAATTAATAACTTTTTATATAAACCAAAACCTCCCTGATAGGCATCCCTTCCAATCTAGTGACGTAGCGAGGAAAACATCTACCTATGCTCTGAACCACGACTGAACTATTTGAGCCGTGATTCTATGGATTTGCAAGACGCAATCTATTTTTTTGAGCCGTGAATACCATATCCCAGCCATGAAAAGCCATTAATGTTCTGCAAACTTGTTTGCTAAGTCCTGTTCACATGTTACCCCAAATCTCAAATTTTACAATAGAAACAGCACCAAGAACGTTTGTCTTTACTTTATAGGTAACTGAGCACCTGATAATGCAGTCTAATGTGACTGCAACTATGTAATTACCAGTTGACAAATGTTTAGGGTTCACTCATTATGCAGGATATTTTGGTGGAACCATGGAAGCATTCTACGGAACTGCAAAAGTTGAAAATTTTGTGAAATGGCACATTTATGAATTGCAATTTCTTCAATCAAACAAAAATACATCACATTAGAGCAGCAAAATTTCATAGGTACCTAGGTACTTAAATTATATATTAGAGCCACAATATTTCAGAAAAAAAGTAGGACTTTTCCCAGTTAGATTCCAGTACCATACAAAGTGTAATTATATTCTTTAAAATAAATCCTTTAAAACATATGGCTCAGAGTCAGATCTCTTCTGTTCAAGTTGAGTAGTTGATGTGCACTTGAGCACTTCAATCAAGGTTGGGTTGGCAACTTGGCAACATTCTCTTGTGTTGCAATTTGCAATTTCAATACATTCAAATTCTTTGAAACAATTTCCATGCTTATTAATGTGTAATTTCTTTCTAGCTTTTTTACCATTTTTGGAGCTGCAAAGTTCTCATCTATTTAGATTTAATTTCTTTCTAGCTTTTCTACCACTTTTGGAGCTGCAAGATTCTTATCTATTTACATGTAATTTTTTCTAGATTTTCTATCATATTTGGAGCTGCAATATTCTTATCTAATAATAAACAAAAGTCTATAATTAAAATAAGAAATTCCAAAGTTAATAAAAATGGTTCAATTTGATCTTTGGAGTTGCTATAAATTTTAGTAACAAGTATCAATGTATCATCAATCATGAGAGAGTATGTGAATATTGCAAGACCTTTGGCGATGCTTCTGCAGCTAAATATACACCTTCAGAAGATCTTGCCAACACATTTCACATTTGGATTGAAATTAATGCATTTAAGATATTCGCCAGCCTTTGGCCAACTATTTAGAAAAAAAGTAAGGTTTCCGATACATTGGATGGATCAGGATGCAGTTAAGCTTGTCCGGAAATCAGTTGCAAATTGCGATGAGTTCCCGCGGCCCGCCAAAATATACTGCAAAACATAAACAACAAGTAGTTGCGGTCACATCAGAGTGGTCAAACAGACTCAGACTGCATTATCACACATTCTGATGACAGTTAAGGGGGCCAGCTACCCTAAAATTTTCAATACTGGCGTTTTCCGGTTTTTGTGCTTGTCTTAAAGCTTACTTTCTGATGCGTGTAACGGTACCAGAATCATCTCTCTACGTCGAAAAATGATTTCGTGACAGCTCCCCAAAGGGGGGCGGTTTTGAGGCCTCTTCAATAATCTCTACCGTAAAATGGGGTAACTTAGACCACTTTTTTTATAAATGATGCTATTTTTTTACTAGCTAAATTAAACTTGAATTGAAACATGCAAAATACAGGTCTATACCCTAGCTTCACTCACCATAAATTGCTGGCTCCTGCCTCTCATAGTCTTTATGTAATTTCAAAAAAAGTGATGATCTTTGTTACCCCAGCTCTTGGGGTATCTTAGAACGGGTGGTAAAATCAATTATATTTTTTTGGTAAAATAACTCCAGGTTTTGGTGCATTGTAGTAGAGCTCTTCTAGTTACATATGCAAATGACAAACTTGAGGAAAGTGTCATAGTTTGCAAATGGGGGGCACTGCCCCATAATGAGGGAAATGTGACTACATAATGGCAGCCCTGATGGGGTAAAAAAACATAAATAGGCTGTCAAACATAAAATATGTTATATATGGTAATTTTATATTAACTTCCAAGCCGGTCTAGGTTACCTTGTCAGGGCTGACATTAGGTGGTCTAAGTTCCCCCATTTGGGGGCAGCACCCCCCATTTGGAAACTATGACACTTTCCTAAAATTTGTCATTTGCATATGTAACTAGAAGAGTTCTACTACAATGCATCAAAACCTGGAGTTATTTAACCAAAAAGAAAAAAAATTGGAGGGGGTACTCTGACAGGCTTTAAATAATAGCTTTTTTTTGTGGGTCACATTTGTAATTTTTTAACCTATTAGATATGCAAACTTTTTGAATCTTTCTATTGTGTTATGTAGCCTCAGTATTAGGCCTTTAATGCCCATTGACAAAATTTTGCTATGTCAAATAGTTTTTGAGTTTTGGGGGTTTTTGTTAAAAAAACGAAAAGTGGTCTAAGTTACTCCGCCGGTCTAAGTTGCCCCATTTTATGGTATGGGATTAATACGAAGGCTGGACACTAAAAAGGAACGTCTGACGTAAAACGGCCAAATATGGCATTATCCGGTGCATATACTCATCTTAAAGCTTACTTTCTGACGCGTGTAACGGTACCAGAATCATCTTTCTACATGCATTTTTACATACACAACGCACCGTGGAACAGGGGGTGGTACTGGGCGGCCTTCAGTAATCCCTATGAGAGTAATTCAAAGGCGGGACTATATATACAGCCTGCTGTTGCCAAAGCAGTTAGTGCCCATCATGACAGTGAGGTGAGAGGTATGCAGCCAGTTGCTCTATGCCTTCCTGACTTGGTTTGAGGCTTACTTACGGTATGTTGGCTACGTTACGACTCTTTTACGTCATTTTATGTGCCGCCCGGCAGTTTTTTGGGCGTGGTGAAAACCTCTGATTGGTCTCACGGCAAACCTATCTCCTCCTACAGTTTTCAAGCTACAGCAATGAGACACATACCATTCGACTCGCAAAGACCATACCTATCGATTTCATACCTAATTTCTGTCTGGTTTGTTTTTTATATGGGGGAGAAGGGGAGGGGGAGGGGGGAAAATGAGAAAAATGAGATAAACGCGCATAAAAAAACTATGGGGAAAATGAAAAAACTCATGTTCGAATCGACAGGTATGGTCTTCACGAATAGAATGATACATGTCTCGATGTTGTAAGATGATATTTGTAGGAGATATATTTTCTAAAGTACCCATTTTTACCCATTTTCTATGAATTTCACGTTTTCTATCAATTTTTTTGCAAAATTCATAGAAGCAAAATGTTATTTTTTTTTACATTTTACGTATTTATGTGAAGTTTCATGATGATCGGATAATAACTGTAGAAGTTTTTCCGGAGGGTAGCCGGTCCCCTTAAGTGAAAACAAATGTTAGTGTTGCTGTACAATTGTACTTTTTTAGGGTGAAATTAGTTATTTGGGGTAATAAATGCATGTGACCTTGTATATAAGTTCGTGGCTTGTAAATGGCTTTTCATTACCCGGCTGAAATGGCTTTTCGTTAAAGATTACCCAGCAACAATTTTGAAAATGGTTGGCGATGCTTTTGGCTTCAAAACACATATATTGGCAATTTGGCGTCTGGGGCCCACTGTGCAGAGAGTGGATGAATATTGCAAGATCTTTGGCGACGCTTCAGTAGCAAAATTTATGCCTTCAGGAATCAGAAGATCTTGCCAACACATTTAGATAGAAATTCTTGCATTCAATATATTTGTCAGTCTTCGGATAACTATTTAAAAAAAAGTAAGGTTTCTGGAATGTTGGCATAGTGACAAAGCACAGATTTTCTAGAATCAGTTCATTTTTAATTTCCTCATTTACACCAGATTTATACCCATTTCTTATGTATAACAATGCTGATATCCAGGATACTTTTCTGGAAAATTATAGGACTCAAAAATGAACTTGAGGCAGAGTCTAAAAAAGTTTCTGCTTTGCCACTATGTATGTCGGAAGGATCAGGAATTTCAGGATGCAGTGAAGCTTGTCTGGAAATCAGTTACGATGAGTTCCCACCAAAAAATGTAAACATCAAGTTTACGATTAGGTACGTAGTTGCGGTCACATTAGAGCGGTCAGACTGCATTATTATCACATGTTCAGTTGACACTTGCTGTATGATTGGACTGTTTTTAGGGTAAAATTAGTTATTTGGGGTCATAGTGGCAAAGCAGAGAGCTGTTTAGACAGACTGATAGTGATAGACTCTCCCTCAAGTTCATTTTTGAGTCCTATATTTAGACCAGGAAAGTATCATAGATACCATCATACCACTCATACCAGCATTAATAATGCTGGTATCTATGATACTTTCCTTTCAGGCCGCCACTCGCCAGTGCGTCTTTATTCTTTAGAAGTCGTTGAGTGAGCTGTGAGCGTGAGGTCTGTGAAAATGGTTAGTGGGTCCGTGCACTCTGGTGGGATAACCTTCAACAACTCGAGTCTGTATGGTGTCGGCTGTACGTTGTTTCTATATTCTTTATTCTAGCATTTAAAAATGCAATGTCAGGAACAAGTAACAACTATCCCTGACCTGACTTAGGCTGACTAATAAAGTCTTCTTTCAGTTTCAAAATACCTGTTTATCTATTCATTTTATTGGGGTACCTAACCAGGCGGTGGCGCCGTGGCGGGCTCGAAGATATCGGCACCTCAAACTGTCTTCGTGTACAGGCTTACTTGCCGGATGGTCACCTTCACCAAGCGGCCGACATTTGTCGGACCTACTTGCCGCCTGCACTGTCGCCGTGTACCAGAAAGCACCTTGCTTCCCTGCAGCTTCTCCCTCTTTCTTTCTTATTTATTCTTATAGGAGCACTGGAAACTAGTC